AATATTCAGAGGTTGAAAATGGGAAATAGATTCACGGAAGATGAAAAGGAAATGTGTGAAACACTAAACGAAAAGTTCCAAAGTGTGTTTGTACAAAATGAAATCTTTAGGGAACCAGATACAATAAGAATTCCAGAGAACAACATAGAGCACATAGAGGTGTCTAGAGACGAAGTGGAAAAAATGCTCAAGGAACTCGGTAAGAACAAAGCAGCTGGCCCAGATGGCGTTTCACCATGGGTTCTGAAAGAATGTGCATCTGAGCTCAGCATTCCACTTCACCTGATCTTTCAGGCATCCCTGTGTACAGGAATCGTAGCAGACGTGTGGAAACAGGCTAACATAGTTCCAATCTACAAAAGTGGCAGCAGGGAAGACCCCCTCAATTATAGACCTGTATCATTGACAAGTATAATAGTGAAAGTATTGGAAAAACTAATCAAAACTAAATGGGTAGAACACCTAGAGAGAAATGATATAATATCAGACAGACAGTATAGTTTTCGATCTGGAAGATCCTGTGTATCGAATTTACTCAGTTTCTATGATCGAGCCACAGAGATATTACAGGAAAGAGATGGTTGGGTTGACTGCATCTATCTGGACCTAAAAAAGGCTTTCGACAGAGTTCCACATAAGAGGTTGTTCTGGAAACTGGAAAATATTGGAGGGGTGACAGGTAAGCTTCTATCATGGATGAAAAATTTTCTGACTGATAGAAAAATGAGGGCAGTAATCAGAGGCAATGTATCGGAATGGAGAAATGTCACAAGTGGAGTACCACAGGGTTCAGTTCTTGCACCAGTGATGTTTATTGTGTACATAAATGATCTACCATTGGTATACAGAATTATATGAACATGTTTGCTGATGATGCTAAGATAATAGGAAGGATAAGAAATTTAGATGATTGTCATGCCCTTCAAGAAGACCTGGACAAAATAAGTAGATGGAGCACCACTTGGCAAATGGAATTTAATGTTAATAAATGTCATGTTATGGAATGTGGAATAGGAGAACATAGACCCCACACAACCTATATATTATGTGAGAAATCTTTAAAGAATTCTGATAAAGAAAGAGATCTAGGGGTGGTTCTAGATAGAAAACTATCACCTGAGGACCACATAAAGAATATTGTGCAAGGAGCCTATGCTATGCTTTCTAACTTCAGAATTGCATTTAAATACATGGATGGCGATATACTAAAGAAATTGTTCATGACTTTTGTTAGGCCAAAGCTAGAATATGCAGCTGTTGTGTGGTGCCCATATCTTAAGAAGCACATCAACAAACTGGAAAAGGTGCAAAGACATGCTACTAAGTGGCTCCCAGAACTGAAGAGCAAGAACTACAAGGAGAGGTTAGACGCATTAAATATGCCAAAACTAGAAGACAGGAGAAAAAGAGGTGATATGATCACTACGTTCAAAATAGTAACAGGAATTGATAAAATCGACAGGGAAGATTTCCTGAGACCTGGCACTTCAAGAACAAGAGGTCATAGATTTAAACTAGCTAAACACAGATGCCGAAGAAATATAAGAAAATTCACTTTCGCAAATAGAGTGGTAGACGGTTGGAACAAGTTAAGTGAGAAGGTGGTGGAGGCCAAGACCGTCAGTAGTTTCAAAGCGTTATATGACAAAGAGTGCTGGGAAGACGGGACACCACGAGCGTAGCTCTCATCCTGTAACTACACTTAGGTAATTACACTTAGGGATCTTAGGCAAGCAATTAGGAAAGAACTGATAACACAGTAAACTAGTACAAAACACTGCAGATAGAAGTAAGTCCATAATAGTTTTTGGACGTTTAGAGAAGGAAATTTCATCTAAAGTGGACCGAGCAGCAGAAGAGATGAAAAGCATAGAAAAAATAGTAGGATTAGGAGAAGGCCTAAATTAAAAAGAGCATGTCAGTGATTTTAGGAGGATAGGTAAATATGAGAAAGACAAGAACCTCCCCTTAAGGGTGACATTTAATGGAGTGAAGTATATGACAGAAGTGCTTCGAAATACCAGAAAATTGCAATGTGACAAGGATGGCAAACTTTGGTCAGTAAGACAAGACCTCTCAAAGGAGGACAGAGAAAAGCTGAAAATGAACCTCATGAGGCAAAACGCCTAAATGGGAATAGAAATGAAGAAGAAAAATTCTTTTTTCTACAAAGTGTCAGGGACTGGAAAGCTTGTGAAATGGTACATAAAGACAAAGCAACAAAATCATTAAAGGTGTAAAGAACAAAGGGAAGGGGAACATGTTTCTGAAAATAGTATACACCAACATAGATGGAGTGAGATCGAAAATATTGGAGTTGAAAGATATAATCAAGCTCAAAGTCCCAGATATTGTCGAATTAACAGAGACGAAACTTGAAGAAAATATTTTAAATGAGGTCATATTCCTAAGGGGCTACTCAGTTTGGAGACGTGTCAGGAAAACTAGGAAGGGGGAAGGAGTGGCTGTGCTGGTGAAAGAACACCTGAAGGAAAGAGTTAATTTGAAAACCCTCGAGATATTGACATAATGGCATTGCAGCTCAAATCAAGATGATAAGCTGATAATTTTAAATGCCTACAGCCCACCAGCAAGCAACACATGGACAAAGGAAGATCTGGATGACAAACGAGAGGGCATCATACTGGTCACGAAAGAGATTATGGTAAGAGCAGATAAAGACAAATCTCGATTGTTGGTACTGGGGGACTTTAAGGCAATAGACTGGGAGGCCTACGAGGCAAGAACAGAGGACATGCAGATTTGTAAACCTCATCTTGGACACATTCATTTATCAATACGTCAAGCAGGCCACAAGTATGAGAGAAGGAGGTGTTCCGTCAGTACTGGATCTAGTATTCACCAGGAAAGAAGAAGAGATATTTGACATCCAGTACCTTCCTTGGGAAAGAGTGATCACGTCCTCTTGGACATTTAATATGATATGCGATATAATCTAGTAGAGAATGGGGACATTGAAACAGTTGTTAAACTCGATTTCAAGAGAGGACGCTATGGGGAACTTAGAAATTTTTTTATGGGTATAACTAGACAGACTTGTTGCTAGGCAAGGAAGTAAATGTGATGTATGCCTAATTTTGTGAAATATACGATGAAGACACACAAACATTCATACCAAAACAGAGATGCAGACCTAGGAAACAGGGTCGGTTCAACAGAAACTACGATAGGGCCAGAGATTAAAAGACACAAGCATGGAATGATTATAGGAAGAGGCCAAACCAACAAACATACCAGCGATACAAAGATGCAAGAAACAACTACAAGTCAGTGAGGAGAGAGGCGGAGAGGAACTTTGAGAACGGTATAGCAGACTAATGTAAATCAGATCCAGGTCTTTTCTATAAATTCTTTAAAAGTAAGCTACAGGTAAAGGATAATATTCAGAGGTTGAAAATGGGGGCCAGACACACAGAAAATGAAAATGAAATGCGTGAACATTAAACGGAAAGTTCCAAAGTGTGTTTGTATAAATTGAGATCTTCAGAGAACCAGACAATAAGAATTCCACAGAACAGCATAGAGCGTATAGAGGTGTCTAAGAGACAAAGTGAAAAATATGCTCTTGGAGCTAAGTAAGAACCAAGCGGTTGGCACAGATGGAGTTTCACCATGTGTTCTGAGAGAATGTGCAGTTGAACTCAGCATTCCACTTCAGCTGATTTTTCAGACACCCCAGCATACAGGAGTCGTAGCAGATGTGTGGAAAAAGGCTAACATAGTTCCAATCTACAAAAGTGGAAGCATGGAAGACTCCCTCAATTATAGACCTGTATCATTGACAAGTGTAATAGTCAAAATATTGGAAAAAATAATCAAAAGTAAATGGGTAGAACACCTGGAGAGAAATGATATAAATATCAGACAGACAGTATGGTTTTCAATCTGGAAGATCCTGTGTATCGAATTTACTCAGTTTCTATGATCGAGCTACAGAGATTTTACAGGAAAGAGATGGTTGGGTTGACTGCATTTATTTGGACCTAAAAAAGGCTTTCGACAGAGTTCCACATAAGAGGTTGTTCTGGAAACTGGAAAATATTGGAGGGGTAACAGGTAAGCTGCATTTATCTGGATGAAAAATTTTCTGACTGATAGAAAAATGGGGGCGGTAATCAGAGGCAATGTATCGCACTGGAGAAATGTCACAAGTGGAGTACTACAGGGTTCAGTTCTTGCACTGGTGATGTATATTGTCTACATAAATGATCTACCAGTTGGTACACAGAATTATATGAACATGTTTGCTGATGATGCTAAGATAATAAGAAGGATAAGAAACTTAGATGATTGTCATGCCCTTCAAGATGACCTGGACAAAATATGTATATGAAGCACCACTTGGAAAATGGAATTTAATGTTAATAAATGCCATGTTATGGAAAGTGGAATAGGAGAACATAGACCCCACACAACCTATATATTGTGAGAAATCTTTAAAGAATTCTCCCTAACTCAGACAATGTGGGGTTTATTATTCCACACATATTTCTGATTTCTCTCAGGTGTTCACATTCACATAGATAGTGGTCAAGGCGGTGTCCATCACTCTCACTACAAATTCTGCAACTTCGCTGATCAACTGTTGTGTATAGTTAGGTCTGTTTCCAACTGGGGTTTGAATAAGAGTACTTATGCAGACACATGACAACACACAATTAATTAACATACTGAGGTGGTGAGAGCACCGTTATGTAGAGACACAACAACACACTATCAACATACTGAGGTGGTGAGAGCACCGTTATGTAGAGACACAACAACACACTATCAACATACTGAGGTGGTGAGAGCATAAAGCATGTTATTGAGAGGCGGTGGCATCTGTGGTGTCAACGCTAAGGGCAGCCTTGCAACTGACAGCTTCTATGGCCTGCCCCCGCCCTGCACCTCCTGCTTATTCACATAATTTATGTTAAGGTGTGTTCTAAGACTGGTAAGGAGCATGGGAGGTGGTAAAGGAGTAGTGGGAGACTCACCGGACACAGGCAGGAGTGCAGGAGGCAACAAGAGACAGCGACGGCGGAGCTCCACAACATCAACACAACACATTCATTGTCTAGTATTATTTCCTGTTTTTTCATGCACAATATCATTTACCATATACATTATCAGTTTTTAATTATTAAATTTGTTAAAAAAATTAATAGATGTATATTTTCTTTGGCACTAAATAAAAATAAAAATATTGCATTAAGTATGAAATGAAGTGAAAACGTTGATAGAGGCGGAGGCGCGCCGCGAGGGTGAGTGTTGGCGTAACTTGACGGAGGCACTCACCACCACCACGCTACGGAGACACTCACCACCACCACGCTACGGAGACACTCACCACCACCACGCTACGGAGACACTCACCACCACCACGCTACGGAGACACTCACCACCACCACGCTACGGAGACACTCACCACCACCACGCTACGGAGACACTCACCACCACCACGCTACGGAGACACTCACCACCACCACGCTACGGAGACACTCACCACCACCACGCTACGGAGACACTCACCACCACCACGCTACGGAGACACTCACCACCACCACGCTACGGAGACACTCACCACCACCACGCTACGGAGACACTCACCACCACCACGCTACGGAGACACTCACCACCACCACGCTACGGAGACACTCACCACGCCACGGAGGTACTCGCCACCACTGACGCCACGGACGGCCAAGACACGGGACAGCTTAGTCAGAGCGCTCCTCGTCATACCAACATTCACAAGACTCCACCAGCAGTAGTACCACTAACCTCTCATTAACTCCAGTAAGTTCTTCCATATCCAGTAATTGTCTTGTATGAACACCGCCTTCCACACTGAGAGCTATGCTGCTGTTACCTTACCTCCCTAACAAGCATGTGATGTAGTCGGGGAGCTTCTCAGCCGGCATCAGTTTGTTTCATTACGCATTGATCACTGTGTTATCCCCCCGCCCCGACCCCCATAAGGGCTGGCTTATAGGGCAGGGTGAGGTGTCTCGAGTGAAGGTGACACCAAAGTAGTACGTCCATCACCTCTAGCACCCAAGAGGTGACGACCTCTCTGTAGGGTGCAGTCGCACCTCCACAGATCTCCAGTATCAGCTCTTGATACTGGTAATGGCTCCAAAGGGCCCCACTTACTGGCTATTCATTCCGCCCCACTTACTGGCTATTCATTCCCTTGCCACCTTTTGGGTGACTTAGTCTTCATCAATCAATCACCTCTAGTAGGAAGACAAATCTGGTTTACTTCAAGTTCTGGTATCACCTGAACCCAGACGTGGGCGACATAATCTTCCTCGCCTGGCGCCGTCTTCGGTAATTACTGGCCTGTTCCCAGATGCAGCTTTCACCCCCCTGTAATAATATCCAAAAATGTTCCCCAAGTTGAAACTATGAAATCGTGCATCTTTCACACAATACAGATAACACAAATTTGTGTTAGATTAGGTTACAGGTTTGTATAAAGAGTGGCTCGACTTTTGGCACCTTATGGAGTCTACTGGCACTCGCTCAATTGTCTCAACTGAACAGATAGTCAAACAAGATTATTAACGTGTTAATGAAGACTAAACCACACGCCAGAAGACGAGATGTTTCAATCTGTCTTGTCCTGGACCATTATAAAGTAGATTGTGATGGAAATGAGGTTGTTTGTTGTTGTTTTTGGATTCAGCTACTTGGAACAAAAAGTTCCAAAGTAGCGCGGGCTATGATTACCCCGTAGTGGACTTACCTGGCACAGGAGCGGGACTGTAGGAAACGAGGTTTGTTATTGTTTGATTTAACTACTCGGAACGAAATGTCCATGTAGCACAGGCTATAGTGAGCCCATAATTGAGTTCGGTTATTTGCGATTACCTTGTTACTGTGATATTTGGATTGAAGTTTTAAATGTAAGTGGGGTTTCCTCCTTTTCCTGTTTCTTTTTCACTTTTGTTTTAGCCCACTTCTTTGTCTTGTTTTAATAACATTATCTTGGTGGCAGATGTAGATGCAGAATGTTAACAAGTGTATCCAATTCGACAGCTTTTCTAGTCATTGTAGTCGTTGTGGAATTTGCATCTAATGCCGCTGCTGTCGTTGGATGAATGTTGAGTTTGATGTGCAGGGCTTCAGTTGCTTCACATTTCAGTAAGTAATGCAATTGTGGCACCTCAGCATCTGTTCCACAGATATGACACTAACTGTTGAGTTTATTATCTCCCAGCTGCACTTGTAACAAAGCCTGTGTATGGCTACTCCAATATGCGTGCCTAGCTTTTTGCCAGGCTTGAAAAAGTAATACCCAGTGGTTTGTTCATACCACATTACAGTGGATCTTCCTAATGCTACTTTGGCTCTGTGGCAACTTGTGATAGTTGGGAGTATTTTCTTGCTTTGGTCCTTAATCTGTGGAAAAACTTGTATATATTTTTAACCTATACAATGGGTAGAGAAGGGGCAGTTGTTGCTAGTGAGTCTGTCTTTTCATTACCATCTATGCCAATGTGATTTGGTATCCAATTTAGGGTGATTGACAGCCCTAGATTGTGTTGTTTTTCTATATTTGGGATTTCTGTGATGAGTTGTATATTATCTCTGTGCTGGCTGGGTAATAATGCCTGGAGTGAAGATTTAGTCAGTATGAATGATGACATCATGTAAATTATTCTCATTTGTATAATTTATGGCCTCTTTCAGGGCATGTAATTCGGTTTACAATGTTGAGCTTCCACTATTCATGCTCCAGTAAACTTTACGCTTCTACTACACATAAGGGGCATAACTGGCCGATCTCTCGGTGTTCAAGTGAACTTCACAAGCAACTCCAAAAAATACCTGGTCAACCAGGCTGTGACTCATGTCGGGCTGCAAGTAGCCCGATAAGTCTCGCCTACCTTTCTGGGTCCTTCCCTGGTTCGTGGCAATTAAGACATATTTTAAATGTATAGTGCTTATAGGCCATTGCTCCCTGTGCCTCTGAGGGGACCAGGCCTGACTCGTGGTTCATGGTAGACATAAGAACTCCTGGGACTGATGACCCGAAACCAATATAGCACACAGCAGTTCGGATAGCTTCAGGGATCATCTGAGGCTCTGCCAGAAAATGGCATTTCATTGCATTCATCACTGTTTTTTTTTTTTACTGCTGCTCCCATTTAATGTTGTGCCACTTTCAGATAATGATGGATTCTGACTCAAAGGTCCTTTTCTTCATCAATCTGAGCAGCATCTGACATTAGTTTGATGCTGATGGGATAGGTGTTCCATTAACCACAACACCACAGAAGCCAGATGGAGTATCTGGAGTATCTGGTTTATTGGCGTTACAAAAAAATAATCTCAATGTGGGCCTGAAGCATAGGACAAGCATGCCACTACATCCATCATATTCCTTCTGATTCCAGAGTGTGAGGGGTGTACACTGACATGAAAGATGGCAATCAGGAACTGCAGCTGATGATGTATATATACAGTATAGGGACAGGAGGAGGAAAGGAGCATAGCAACGGTTTGCAATCTGCATAAAGTACTGTGGCTTGAAGTGAGTCATCAATAAAAGGAAGGAGCCTACCTTCCAAGAGGAGGGTAGGCACCTGTCCCTGCATGATTTTACATGGAGTCAAATACTGTAGTCACCTAGTTGTGCTTTTGGGGGTCGAGCTCTGCTCTTTCGGCTCGCCTCTCAATTGTCAATCAACTGTTACTAACTACTACCCCTCCCCCCCCCCCTACACACAGACAGACACACAGGATGAGATCTATGCTTATGGTGTCCTGTCTACCCAGCACTCTGTCATATAACGCTTTGAAACTACTGACGGTCTTCACCTCCACCACCACCTCGCCTAACTTGTTCCAACCGTCTACCGCTCTGTTTGCGAAAGTGAATTTTCTTATATTTCTTCGGCATCTGTGTCTAGTTAGTTTAAATCTATGACCTCTTGTTCTTGAAGTTCCAGGTCTTTGGAAATCTTCCCTATTAATTTTATCAATTCTTGTTAATATTTTGTATGTGGTGATCATATCATCTCTTCCGTCTGTCTTCTAGTTTTGGCATATTTAATGCCTCTAACCTCTCCTCGTAGCTCTTGCCCTTCAGTTCTGGGAGCCACTTAGTAACATGTCTGCACCTTTTCCAGTTTGTTGATGTGCTTCTTGAGATATGGGCACCACACAACCGCTGCATATTCTAGCTTTGGCCTAAAAAAGTCGTGAACAATTTCTTTAGTATTTCGCCATCCATATATTTAAAAGTAGTTCTGAAGTTAGAAAGCGTGGCATAGGCTCCTCGCACAATGTTCGTTATGTGGTCCTCAGGTGATAGTTTTCTATCTAGAACCACTCCTAGATCTCTTTCTTTATCAGAATTCTTTAATAGACAACAAAGTTACCTGCAAGCGTGCAAAATCAGTAAAATGTGTATACTCGTTTCAGTTTTCACGCCTTATTTCCCATGCTACGTCGTTCGTTTTGGTATTGTTGTGTTCGCAATAGAATTCTCTACTGGGGTATATGCATATAAGGTCTAAAAGCCTGGTGTGACTCCCCACAGCAAAAGCCTAAAGTCGGCCAAGTTACCCGTGAACGAGCACCAATTGGCACACCTGCAGAGTAACGTATATACTCGTTCAGTTTGATAACATCAATTATCGTGTTACTTGTTTCATGTTGTTTCATTTTGATATCAAATTGTTGGCAAAATAGACACGTATTTTAAAACTAGTCCCATAATAATAAAACAATAAATGGAATTTTAACATATTTTAACTTTTGGACACTTTTTGACGCTCATCACCACAAAATTATTAATATCTTTCTAGTGTTCTGACATTAATTTTCATGTCTTTCATTTTGATATAAAATTGTGCACAATCTAATGGCGCTTATTTTGAAACCACCCAGAAGTTGATCGGATAAACATTGAATTTTTTACAAATACAGTGGTACCTCGGAACACGAGTGTCCCTGTATGCGAGTTTTTCGGAATACGAGCAGGATTTCCTTGGAAAATATGTCTCGGAAGGCGAGGGTTACCTCGGAACACGAGTTTGTTGATACATGTACAGGCTAACTAGCGCATGGTGGCACGGCGATCGCGCCTCAGTTTGCCAGTGTCTAGCGCCCAGTGACTATCCCACCTGAATTCTTCACAAGGATTTACAGTTTTTTGTCGTTTTTTTTTGGCCATTTGAGCATAAAAGTTGTCATTATATATCTCGCCATGGGTCTCAAGAAAGCCATTGGTAAGGTTCGACCTAAGAAAATAGCTGAGAGTAGAGGCAGTAGAGGATGTCCCTTCTTGATTAAGAAAATGTGTGAAGTATGGGAACTGCAGAGTTTTGTTGAAAAAACTCACCCAGATAAAGCTGTAGCAGGCCGTTGCATTGACCTTTTAAATGACAATGTGATGTCTTAATACAGACAAGTGTTAAAATGTAGGGAAAAACAAGTGTCTTTAGACAGATTCTTGGTAAAACAAACAAGTCCTTGTGGTATGCAGGCAAAATGTGCCAGAGTGTGCATACCAGTGAAGTCCTCACTGCCTGATGTGATAATGGAAGGAGACTCCCCCTTCCAAACAGTAACACCTCTCCTCCTCCCTCCTCCTCACATCTTCCATACACCAACAGCAGTCCTTAGCAAGGGTAAGTAATAACTTGAACATAGTTTTGTAGGCTTATTTAGATGAATTAGGTATAAAAATTTAGTTTGATGTGGGGTTTTTGGGGTAGTCAGGAACAGATTAATTCATTTCCCATTATTTCTTATGGGGAAATTAGCTTCGGAATACGAGCCAACTCCAGGAACGAATTAAACTCTTAAACTGAGGTACCCCTGTATTTTAATTCATGACACAAGCTATAGTCACTCGCTCAGAATCGGGAGAAAAATGAGTGACGGGTGGTGGCCGCGGGGTGCGAAAGTGTTAATGCTGGAGCTGAAGGTTAAACTCCAAATTTCCATCTTCCCTAGAGCTCTCTGGGCCAATTTGTCCTTGTCCCTTTAGATTCTATACCCAGGAGTGACACCTCCAGTGACAATACTACCTTCTTTGACCGAAGGCTGCTTCACCATCTGGATGGACTTTCCTGTCTTTCCAGTGCCATTGTCAACTTCACTTAATGCAATCAACTAGTGTACTGTACTTGAACGCTATCGGTAACTTTGGACCGGACTTGCGTCCACTACAAAAAATATTTGTATAAAATTCATTTTTTATCCAATCGACCTTGGGATAGTATCAAAATAAGCCCCTTTAGATTGCACACAATTTGATACCAAAATGAAAGATGTAACATGGAACTTGATGTCCGAACACTTGAAAGATTATAAATAGGCTTTTGGTCAAAATATTAAAATATTTATTAAAATTTTATTTATTGTCCTATTATCTTGGGACTAGTTTTAAAATATGCGCCTTTACGTCGCGAACAATTTGATACCAAAATGAAAGATGTAACACAAAAATTTGTCAGAACACTGGAAAGATATAAATAATTTTGTGGTGATGAGCGTCCAGATTTAAAATATTTGTTAAAATTCCAGTTATTGCTCTATTATTATGGGACTAGTTTTAAAATACGCGCCTTTTTATTGTGAACAATTTGACACCAAAATGAAAGACGTAACATGAAATTTGATGTTATCAAATTGAACGAGTATACACATTAGGTTGCAGTGTTCAGATTGGTGCTCGTTCACGGGTAACTTTAGGCTTTTCTGTGGGGAGGCACTCCAGGCTTTTGTACATTATATTCATACACATCTGTAGGGAATTTAATTGCGAACACAATGATACCAAAACGAGCGACGTAGCACGAGAATTAAGGCGAGAAAGCTGAAACGAGTATACACATTTAGGTGTCACCGCGCGCTTACCCGCATGCTCAGTGCATGACCCCTAAGTTGACCGCGCGCCTGCCCGGTGCGCGATAATGTTAACAGTGAGATGACTTTGGCTTGGTCACCCATCACAGCAAGTATTAGGAATGTGTGCAAGTAAATAACATCAAAAGGCACTAGGTGCTAAATATTCTACCAAGCTGTCTTGCACAGGACAGTCAGAAAGTCCTGGATATTATTTAATAAGAATTTAAAACCAAAAAAAATCAGTGCATAAATGTTAATAATAAGGTAAATAAGACACTGGGATTTATTTATCAAAGTGTTAGGAATAAAATGCCTGGTGTTATTCTAGTTATATCTTGCTCTTGTTAGGCCCCATTTAGATTATGCAGTTTAGTTTTTGTAGCCATGTTATACAATGGATATAAATTCACTAGAACATGTCCAGTGTAGGACAAGTTCATCCCCCAAATTATAAACCTGTCACATGAAGAAAGATTAACAAAGCTTAAGGGGGCATTATTTCCAAATTTGCCCAAAATATGCAATAAATGAAAACTCGTTTGATTTCAATCAAACTATTTTAACAAGTTGTATATGAAAAGGTTTCATCTGGTCCAAGTCTCAGCATTGTAGCATAAATAGGAAGGGAGGAAAAAAATATTGAATTGTCAAATTTTCCAAAATGATCAAAAATGTTTATCAAACAAAAGTGTCAACTGAAATCATGTCTGACTCTCAGCTATCACAATAGCATATATTAATTAATTAAAAACAAAATATAATTAGTTTTATTAAAATAAATTTAGTTAAAAAAAAGGGCAATATTTTTTTTATATTAATTTTCTCTCTTTTGTTTATAGGGCGATGCATGAAACTTATACACCTGACTGCACGTAAGCCTATCTGTAAGGGTGCCAATTTTGGAGGAACTTGGTTGTCAACCTCAAGTCACAGATGGCAACACCTTAGACTTTATTTTTTACTTATTTATTTTCAAGTAACATAAAAATTCAAATATCTTTTATTTTTTATTCAATTTACATGACTTACACCTTATATGTAAAGTTTGTCTCTAAAATCTGTTGGAAGCGTTTTTTCCAGAGTTCATTTATTGATTTTATAAATAGCAATAAATATGATATATTTTGCATAATTTTTAGGGAGAACTTTGACTATTTGTATTAGGAAAACTAAAGACGTTTTGGAAAATCCCCTTCTATAGATCCTTTATTATATGCTAATTTGTCAGAAAAGTGTCATAGAATGATTATATCTGAAAGGTGTGGTTGTAAATATACACTTGAAAATGTGTAAAATTCGTTTGAAAAAAAAAAAAAAAATCTCCCTTACTATTTAGGCTACAGTACTGAAACTTGGAACAATTGCAGCCCTTTTCATATACAACTAGTCAAAAAATATTGGTTGACATTGAACAACTTAACACTTTGGCGTATCCTGTGCGCCACCCCTCAACTGTGCGATTTGGGTCCCAGGGTTTCACGGGAGTGCGCGTAAATTCTGAAAAGTGTAAACTCTCTTCAACTTTGTCACCTTAATTCTCGTCCTACGAGATTAAATTTGGTATCATTGTGTTCGCAATAGAATTCTCTACGGCACTAAATGCATATAAACTCCAAAAGCCCGGCTAATTACCCGCAGCAAACAGAGAAAGTGCGAACGAGTTACCCAGGA